CTCTTTAGGTACCTATTTAACAGTAGAACACTACTGCTTTTTAAATTCAAACATTAATAAAAAATTAATGTTACCAAGCAGTAAACTTTATTTTTGTTTGAGATAAAAAAATTTTTGTGGAATTTTCCACTTGCCTAATGTTAGCTATAGAAAGGAAAATGTTTAGGAATTTCTAACTAAAAATAATTTGAAAATAATTTGAAATTTGATGAATTTTGTCAAAATTTAAATTTAAATGAATATAAAAAATAACCGTTGTTTATATATTTTATTCTTACTGTTTTTGAACTTCCACCAAATAAACTTCTTACAAGCCATGCAATATATTGTCGAGATTTTTCACTGAGTAAAAATGTTTTTATCATGGATAATTTAAAAAAAAAGCGATAAATAGCTCAAAATATTTCAAGAATGTTGTGCCCAGGGACCTGAAATTTGCGGGGGCTAGGGCATGTCTCTTTTAGCTGGTTCCACGTAATTTGGTCGCAGTAAGCTGGGCGTGGTAAATTGTGGTTTCACGTAATTTTGGCGCGGGGAATTGGTCGCGGTGTAATATTGTCGCGCGTCATATATATATAGTCGTTCTATATTAGATCGCGTCAATTTGATGATATCTTAATTAGCTGGGCCTATCCAAAAATGTGATACAAACACTTTATATGTAGGTTTCGGTTGACGACACGGTTTTCTATTCATGGTGGCCTGTAGACAATTAGTGCTTTTGAACGGAGGTGGCATCAGTGACATATTTTAAGGTCTCTAAGGAAGTTTGACGTGTAAAACTAATTCAGTGAAGCGTATGGTTGTGTCGTCCTGTATTTCGTGCATGATATCAGAGTTTATTATGTCGTGTGTAGTGTGTACGGTGGTATTGTCTGGAGGATTGGTCAAGGTGGTGTAGTAGTGATTTGGCTGTGGATGGTCATTGCATTGGCCAGTCGCAAATCCATGGCCTTTGACGATTGAGCATTCGACTCTCTGGTATACATCATGGCTCTCCAATGTTCCGTTGCTTAGTTGGACGTTTATGGGCCACGAAGAACATAATTCCAAATCATGAACTTACGCATTGGTTTAGAAAAGATACAGAAACAATATATCGTTACCGTATATAAATTTTTGGAAACTGTCCTCGTTTGAAACATTGAAACTAACAGGTCGGATTGTCAAAAAATATGCGTCTATCATAAAATATACGTATAATAGCCAACTGAACCCGGTCAATAAACATAATTTAGGTAGTGATTCATTCGAATGCCGTGTTATAGTCAATTTACGTGCAACTCATTTAGGTAGGCAATCCGACTATATTGATAAACTTTATATTATGGATCTATTGACTGTAGATAAATAGTGTTAGTAGATAATATACGATACTGAAATGAATTAATTATTTTTAAAATAATCAATTTTGTAGTTTTTATCATTATAGTTAGACAATAGCAGACAATATTATTTAGGCAATAGCAGCGTTATAACGAAATTCGTTTTAGAATTTAATATTTCGTAATAACTTATTAGTATAAATAATAATAACAATACTTGTATTCTTAAATTAAGTTATTCACGTGGGGTAGTTGTCGCTTGTATTATTTTTCAACGTAATACGTCTTCGATCAAATTACCGCCTGAAGTCRTGTATGTGAGATTGCTTGGTAGCAGCGACATAATGATTAAGAAAACCAATAAGAAAGGAGTGCGTGAAATTAGATACGATGTTCTATTCCCTCGAGAAATGAATGCCCATATATCCTCTTCCTCCTGTTGCCAATTACTATAGCCGAATTTTCTCCTTTTCGTTGAATTTAAAAAAGCGTATTCAGCTCTTTTAAATCACCTCAAACTACTACTGATTGGCGCRGAATAAGTAATTTATTTCAATTGAAAATCAATTCGACTCGTTTAATTACTCGTGTATATCGGTTAAGTATATAGTCTATACAATGTGATATACTATGATCCATTTGTAATGAAATAATCGAAATATCTATATCTCGTTCGATCTTGCGCTATTGGCACTCGTAGTTTATTGCATTATTCATTATATAAATTTATGCAATAGAGGTACCTAATTATTTGAAGGTCGAACTACTTATTGAGTATATAAGTATATAGGATTTTATTACAAAATAAGATTATAATAATTAATCATTTGTTTAATTCTTTTGTTTCTTAGATTTTATAAACTATTAATTTTCATATTATAAATGATGTTATTGTTGTAATCTAGTTTATATCATAATACTAACTATGAAAATTCTAGACCCTAGATTTATAGCCCTATATTCGATAAATCATATTATTGTGTGTAAACACGTCTAATACCTACTTCAATGTGTACATAAACAAGTAATTCTTAATAAAGTTTATTTAAGTTTAAAAAAAAAAAATAATTATAAAGTAATGTAAATAAATTAAAATGGAGATAACACTAATTCGGAAAAGGATTTAAATTATACATGGTTGATGAATTTATAATGTTACCTTAGTGTCTGATAGTCTAACGTAAATTTTGAATGAGGTAGGCACAGCACGTTATTCAATTAACTAACATCTTCATGGTTTTAATTAACTCTATAATGTAATATACTATATATTTATTTATTATTTTTTTAGTTACCTTATCCCATTAAAATATAATTTTTCAATATTTTAAATCTGAAATAATTGATTATTTTTTGTGTTGTAAAAAAATTTGTTTTCACAATTCTCAGTTACAGYATTCATTTTATAATTGCGTTTGTGTTCCATAAATATATTACAGAGTAAACAATGAACTGGTGTGTAGATTCTAAAATTTTACTCAAATTCGACAAGTTTAATATTGTGTGTTATACTGTTATACTACTGGTAATAGAATTAGAAAAATGCTTGGTAAATGCATACTATTTTTGTGTTGAACATTGTATATAGTAGTATAGTTATTATTTATAATTATACTAGCATAAACATTATTTATTTATTCATCTTTGTAATTTACTGTATATATTAATAATTAATTTACGCTTAACAACTTCATAATGTTAAAATTTTTTATCATATCAATAAGTTCGATGACCTTGTATGTCAGAAACACTTAAAAAAAAAAAAAGCATAAACATATTTAATTATTACCGAGGCTGTGCATTCTCGTGTATTTTTTGTTATTTTGGTTTTGTTATCTTCAATCAATATCTTTTTTTAGTTTCCCTCGGTATGGTCATTCGATCTTAAATCATTTAAACGAGTATACATTTTTACAGGATTTTGGTTTTAAAGGATATTTCGAATATTATTACGTACAGAAATTAAATATTTCATAATTACTTCGAGGAAGTTGGATAATCTTTAAAATATTTTTGTAAATTTCTTTAGGTGTCATATTTTTTATTACTTATAGTTTTTGACAAATTAGTGATTGATAAATTAACCATCGATTTTATTTTTGAGTTGGATACCAAGAAATTGTGTATACCAATGTATATATTTATTATTTTTTATGATAAGTTATTATTAGATTGATATTCCCTTTAATAGTGTAAAAACGTTTACCGATAAATGACAAAACATTAGGTATACTGCTGGTATTGATATAGTTGTAACCTAATAAAATAACATATATATATATATATATATTTATTAAAATACGAATTATAACAAAGGTTAATTTGAAATTTTTTTATCACCTAACCTAATAATTACATTAATTAAGAAATAAGTAACTTTAGATCTAAAAACGTGTTGTGTAATCTCATATTTTTACAATTTTAAACTATTTTTTTGCCACATTTAATTTTCGATCACTTATTTGATACTTATAATATAGTATATATTATATATGTATATATGTTTATTGAAATTAAACGGTTTGTATTTTTGTTTTGTTTTTTCTTTCAGACTGTATCGATTTCAATGCTCTTGAGGTACTCACACCATCAGATATTTGTTTTCATAGGTAATTTATATTATTATAATGGCGTTAAACAAATAAATATATAATAATTATTATATATACAATTTTAAAATTTTGTTTATTTATCACTGCTTAATTTTTTCAGTGGATTTATTGCAGCTATTAGATTTTCACGGTTCGCTCTCTTTCCCGGCGGCGCCTCTTTTGACCGTTATACTGGCTCTGGTCGGTGAGTAAAATAAATAACGATAATAATGATAGTAATAATCCGTCCGTGTGATTTTTCGTCTCATCCGAATATTATTAAAACATTTAAAACCCTGTCAAACGGCGTACGCGTCATCGGAGTTCAGTGACGCTGTTGACGTTCGTTCCCCGAAAACATAATTTTATGCATTAACAATTAAGAGCTTTGTCAACACGATAACATCGTGCCGTGTCCTGCATTCTTGCAGTGTGTATGCGGTAAATAATAATAACGTGGATAGTCGGGATAATATAACGCGGGGGTTATCGTGCATAAAATAGCTTTTGATTTCCGATGATGATGATATACGTTCAGTTTATTTATTCACTTTAATACTTTATAATAAATAATTTTATTTAAATTCGCAACAGGCATGGAGGCCATAATGTCGGAATTTTTCAACGACACCACCACGGCGTTTTATATCATATTGATCGTCTGGGTAGCTGATCAATATGATACCATATGCAGCCATTGTCCGATCACGAAAAGGCATTGGCTAAAGTGAGTACCTATATAATTTAAAAGCTATTATTATTGTCGTCGTATTATATATATACCCTACGGCAGGGGGTCCTAGTTAGGGGGGGTAGCAGATTGGGTGGTTGGTACTGCAGAGAGAGATAGGGAGACAGCCACGGGGGTGTGGATTGGCGAAGGAATTACACGAGAAAGTTGTCTCGAACACGAGTGCATCACAGTTTGACATGAGGTACGGAAAAAAAGGAGGAAGGAAGAAAAAGGGTCCATTGCATGACGAGAAATACGAACGCGACACTACGGGGATTCCATTGACCACCCGCCAGGAACTGTAATGAATATACCAGAATTGCACTTTTCCCCCACTTTCACTCACTCTATCAGGTATTTGCGCGTGTGCGTAAGTGTGCCAGTCATCTCTTACAGAAGTGTAACTCAATGGCTAAAAATATAACTGCCTGATATATATACAGGGTGTTCACACCATTAATATTACTTATTTTCTATTTAATTTATAATATTTTTTGGCGTTACCTGAACTCGATATGAAAACAATTAAATCTTTTTTTTTTTGTGTTTCTTAACCGTGTTTTTGATAGCCCGATTTATCGAGTTAATTTATGTAGGTATTTCAAAAGTTGAATTACTCAGTTATATTAGGTATAACATTCAAATGACTGGATTGGATGGTTAGGATGGTGGTGGATAGTGTTTACACGGCGATACATCCTGTATATATTAAACAGTAATATTTATAGACACATGTGTACTAAGCATATTGTATATTTGTATATGTAAATCGATTATGTTTCTGTTCCAGGTTTTTCTATCTGTACCACTTTTCGTTCTACGCTTACCATTATCGGTTCAACGGTCAGTATAGCAATTTGGCTCTCATCTGTTCGTGGTTTTTTATTCAGGTAATATGATATAGTTTTTTTATTGTAATTTTTGCTTTAGAACAGGTTTCACGATAGATTGGATAATGTATTGTATAAATCATGGTATATTTTACATTATATTAGCGTTATCGATTGATTTTGGTTCGATATCTGCGGGTAGTGTTGTTATGATCACAATAGGATGAATTTTTTTTCAATTGTTCCGTCTAAATTCCAATGGGGCGCTTTTTTAATCACTTTACACTGAAAGTCAATCAGTTTTAGATTCTGAGTGGAACGAGGAATGTATTAATTTTACCATGATGTGTGTGTGTGTTTTTTTTTGTGTCTGTCGTCATGGTCTTGTTTTGGGACAGTAAAAGTGCTTCGATTTTCGACTTCAGTACCTCGTTTGATCATCTAGAGAATCTAGTTGGTACTTTGTGGGGTCGAAAATTTTCAATATTTTTCTAAATAATCGGGATAAACAAACTAAAAATTAAGGGAAAAACAGGAAATTTTACGCATAATCAGTTTTCGACAAAATCGATTTTGGTTTTTACTGTAACTTAAAAACAAATGACCATAGATACATGAAATTTTCACCGAATGTTTATATGAGTATATTCTATTCGCCATGCAATTTTCGACTTAAGTTGAACTATTCATAGGTATTTGCAATTTTCGATCATTATTAGTTTTTTTTAAAATTAATATCGATAAAAATGTATTTGCTAGGCAGAAAAGCTTGAAAATTTAATACAAGGCTCTTAACATATTTTTACAATAGCAGTTGAAAAATATTAAAAATACATAGGCACGATTTTTTTATAAGCATTCAAAGTTTGAATTTTGACAAAATAAGTAAAAATAACAAATTATTTTAAGCTAGAAATTCATAAAAAATTTCTTTTTAAATCTAAGATTTGAAAATTTAATACAAGGCTCCTAAAATTTTTTTACATTAGCAGTTGAAAAATAAAAAAAATACAGTCACATTTTTTTTACAAGCATTCACATTTTAATTTTGATAACATACGTAAAAATCACGAAAATTAGCAAATTAGTTTAAGCTAAAAATTTATAAAATTTTACTTTTTAAATCTAAGATTAGTAATAAAGATTTGAAAACTTTTAATAATCTATAATATGTCCTAGACAGATAAACCGTCTCCGCTCAGAATCGTTTTTCGTATACAATGATATAATATCATTGGATTCAAATTTAATTCCATCCATTACAGTAACCCACTTGTAACTTACTGTACAGCAGAGTGATATCCACGACTTCCCCGCTTTTTTTTAACTAAAAATTATAGGACTGCAATATTTTTACTCAAAATAAAAAATACCTAATGAAGGTGTATGTTTGTAAACTGTGTTCGAAGATTTTTCTGTAATATTTTATAGAATTATATTGTTTCTGTGGTCTTCCATGTGCACTGTTTTTTGTCATTATAAAAAAAACGAAATTTGCGTGCCGATTGTTTACGTGGTCGTTCACGTGGTCCGACTAGTACGCAATACCTACATAGWATTATGTATTTATGTTTAAAGTATATATAATATAATATTATTACCATTATAATAGTGACCCGATAAAGTTTTCATGTTTATTGTCTGTTCCGGACATTTGATTTGAAGCGTTTTTAATTTGAATATTATAATATAGATTGGAGTATTATATAATATACAATATTGGGGCTATTGCGAAGTCTGCAATAGATCGTTGTTCACACTGCGCACCGTCGCGTCGTTATGCTTTTATAGTGATTTTACAACGCTGTTGTTTTTTTGTGATCGGTCCTTATAATAGTATATATATATTTCATATCTGAGTTATGAATTCAGACAAGAATTTTAAAAATGCATAATACTTTCGAAAACTTCATGGACACGTTTTTCTTGATGCGCTCTTTGGTAATTTAGAAATATATATTATAGTATTATAAGATATGCAAATTATATTTGTCGTACGTTTACAGTATAGTTATAATTATGTATCTATATAATCTTTGAAAGTTTTAATAATTAATCAGTCAGTGAGTGATTCCTAAAAATTAAAACATTTCTTTGATCCATTTTTCAAACGTTTTATAGCAAAATAAAATTCCATCTTTTTATTTATGTGAACATTTCTGTTAAGTTATATTAATGGATTTGATTTGTGTATGAAACATTTTTCTTGATTTCTCCTCGTCAGTTCGTTAGTTCCGGTTTTTTTTCATCCTCTATCCTATATAAGCAAAAAAGACATTGCATAAAATACTGAGTACCTACACCTGACAGGTATACTCCCTATATATATATATAGCGCAGGTAAACTCCCTATATATATATAGCGTAATATGACGCTCAAGTAAGTATATACACTTTTGAGGGATGTTGCGCGTTCAAATACCATTTCATATTTGATTACGTARATATTCAATGTATTATGTATATATATGTAATATGTATTGCTTTAGTCGTTTCTGTCCGAGTAGGTATTTAATATAGTTATGTCTGCGATATATGTTATGTGGTTCAGTACCCTCCACGCCGACAGGGTCGTTTTGCGATTATCATTATTGCTGCGAAATATTCGGGTTTGAATTCGATTTTTTTTTATTGTAATTTGAATGCAAATTGTCGCGACCAGTATTGTGTTATTGTAATTAACGGGCAAAAAACCCAATGGTCTATATTATTATGTGTATGGAAATTTTTGAGAACGAGTGCTGCACACAAGTGTATGTGTACTTATATATATGGTCGTAAACAGAATGAATTCTCGTCGACGTCCCGAAGGGTTGATATAAAATTTCCATATAAATTTAACAATGAGCACGGTCCGTCCTACACCTCCTTTGTCACTCTTTCACCGTTGCCCCGTGTACATGTATACGTTATGATTGAGTCGTTTTTTTTGCTTATTTTCGTTATTGCTATATTTAATGTATCTTTCTTTTGGGGGCACCAATTTCATCGTATAGTATATTATATAATAATATATTCACATGAACTCTAGCGTGGGTTTCAAATTATTTAAATCTGTATCACTGTATAATATAGAAATTACGCTGTTGTCATGATATTACATATATATCTGTTACGCGACACCAACCTGCGTAGTTTAATTTTTAAGCGTCATTAAATATCACAATTAAAATATTTGCTTTGTTTATAGTTGCTTTAAAAATTGTATAAATCTTCGTTATAAATTGCTAAAAAATTTATGTAAAATACATTTTTAATTTATCTTAAATGTCTATTAAAAATGAAATGGAAATATATTTTATAATATTCTTATAAAATTATGCGTATACACACTAAACAGTTAAAAAATTTTCATAGATCATTTTTGAATCTATAACTATAGTTAATGATATTAACTTGGAATATTTGTATCTTGCATTTAGTTGTATCTTTTATAAATTAAGCCTTGAATTTAACTACAAGATAGTTATTATTTCTATTAACGATTGAACGACAACTTTTAAATAAATCAAATTTACACGAGAACAAAATCAAAAATAATTTAACAATATAATATACTGTAAATAATACTGCTTGATTTTTCTTGTTCAAATTCAAATCGTTTATGTTCAAATATTTAAGAAAAAAAAATATAAAACCACAATATTTTTGTCCATCAAAATGATATGATTTTAATATGCATAAAGTTATTGTATGCTTTATACTTATAAGCTCAAAATAATATAGTTTCGGTGGTTTTTGTGCGCGCAATTATGTCGTTTGTATGTTTTGTCAATATTATTCTGTTGMAAAAATAAACTCCATTCCTAGCTACTACACTTTGTTTCCAACCGTGGCTGGGTTTAAATTAAACATTTTAATAATAGATCCAATTATGCGTGATATGAAAGTCATGGCATGTTATGCCCTTCGCAGTTATATATATTGTAATGCTATGTCTCAGATTCCCGGGATACTTGTTCGTATCTTCTTCAGAGTTTTCTTATTTTTTCTTGAAAAACATATTAAAAAATGTATTTTATATAGCTAGTGGTCTGAGGTTAAAGTGGTAGTGCGCCAGTAATGTCGTGTTTGACGCATATTTTGTTATGACTGTGATGTTAACGTCGTGTTATTTGCCAATCGTATTTGTACAGACGGTCAACCGTAAAATTAAAACCCATTTTCACGGCCTTCTTCACTTTTTCTGAGCGTTGGTGCACGTACTTTGATTATTTATTTATATTCTGCAGTGCTTACAAGTTGCATAATCGTTGACCTGGTCGTGTTTCTACAAAATATATTAAATATTAAACAGGTTTAAACATGTTTTTYCTGTCTTTTCCGCAGCATTCCATGGTTTATTTTTATCACCACTATGAGTTGCCGTATGTGCTGCAGCAAGCTCAACTGCAGCAGGTGATCATCCAGCGGCAACAGCAACAGCATCAACATCAGCACCAGCACCAGCCATCCGGTGGGGATTCATTGCGGCCGGAAGGCAGAAGTCCGGTTGAGGTGACCATAAGGCCAGTCCAGCATTTCAGCCTGATGAATGGACTGAACAACCTGGGTCGTTTGCGGGCGGTGCTGTTACGTCGCCGGAGAGTGAGGACTTTCGAGCCTCCGCCGCCACCGACCATGCCGACGCCCCCAGCCAACCAACAAAACACGTCKCCACAGTCTACGCGAACGCCTTCGACGATCGACGCGACCGGAAGTGCCGATTCGGAAAACGTTACGGCAGCGACGCCCACAACGCAATAGTGCGCTTTATACTCGCGATGAGCTGCCAAACTACCTATCATCTATACCTTACATACCTATCTTACTTACCTTATAATACTTTAACTACAACAACAGCAACAACTACTATACAATAACGATGTTGAGGACAATTGTTATTACTGTTCCTATTACCTACAGTTATTGTAAACAATTTTTATAATGCYGCGCAGATTATATTATATTATAATTAACACATTAACGCCCTATAATCTGTGATACATGATACACGTGTGATAAACGGTGGTGACGAAGACGAAGACAAGTAAAACTATGTATATAACAAATATATTTCAGGAATTAAAACGGCGGCGGCGTATGTATAGCGATCGTATAATAATTTAATATATTATATTGCTCTTGTTATTATTATTACCATTATTTTGTACTTTATGTTTTCTTCTTCGGAAAATGGTTCGCGCGAAATCTTAATTCATCGTTTATTCGTTAAATAATAATTTATTATCATAGTGATATTGTGTTTATCGTTATTCGTTTGCATAACCTCGTTCACGTGATTGCGGGGTGAAACTGTCCGCTTCGTTGCTTTCGTACTTGCGGTGGCGATGAAAGTGGCATCGGAAAATATAAGTGGTGACGGAGCCCGGGAACGTTTTTCTTATTTTAAGATTGTATTCGTTTTTATTTTCACTCTACCTAGTTTGTAAATTACGATTGTATATTTTTTTTTGTTCTATATAGCATTTGTAATTAATATATATATATATACATCATATATTAATTATTATATGCCATTTGTTATTTTAAAATATTGATATTATATAATTATAATATCGCTGTACTATAAGTTATCGTGCAGTGTATATGTTGTGTATGACGTGTACGTAAGTTTTTCGAACATTCAATTATATTATGTAAACATGTACGAAGTTTATTGTATTGTTCTATATGATTTTTTTCCATCTGCATGCTTTACACTAAAATACACTTCATTTCCTCGTCATCCACTCGATTTTAACAGTAGTATATACAGMAAGATAATTGAATAATCGAGTATTAAAATATTACTAGGGTCTAATATGCACTCCACATAAGAATTTATCTGAAGATCTTTTCCTTTCGATCCGCATATTCGTGTAGGTATATCTGTTTTAGCTTTGCGGRACCTGAGGTCTCTGCAGCTTACTGTGATGTCTATGGTTACCAAGCGAAATATTAAACACTTATCCTCACATCTTCCTCTTTTCGCCTAAAAATAATTGCATTGTTTTTGCCCACCTTTCATTTTCAAAATATTGGAAAGCATTGTCACACAGCTTTGGGCAGCTAACTCGTCAGAATTTAACAGTACGACTAATGCATGTGAGTCCTTTCATGCATTCTTTAACAAAAGTTTTTATTGTATTTCTCCACTATAATTGGTACGTGGTTGTCTGTTATACAAGAAGTCTAAACTGAAGTCTATATTAAATTAAATAGCATCATTTACAACATTTTCCTAAAGATATGAAAGTTAAAGAACGACAACTAAAAAACGAAGACAAAATATGACAGTACTTTAGAGGAGAGATAAGTTGGTATGAATTTCTTAAATCTATATCGTTCAACTATACAAAACATTTAAATTTAAATTAAATATTTTTTATAAATCAGTTTTTTAGCGACGTCATAAAAATTAATGACAAATGCATCTTATATATATATAAATTTTTTTTATTTAAAAGTTTACAGGTTTCCACTGCTAAGGTTATTAGCCAACATTTTTTTTTTTTTAATAATATCTTATATTATATAATAATAATTTAATGTCCACAGACACAAAATATATTTTTGGAGAGTAATAGCTAGAAGCTGCCTCCTAGTGGTGCTCTGAGTTTTGCTAAATGGCTTTATTAAATTAATTAAAAAAAAAAAAATTAATAATTAAAAAAAAAATCAAATGTTGAGACAGTGATTTCTAAAATGTTGAACATAAATATTGGGCAACAAGAATGTAATTATTTTTAGGCGAAAAGAGTATCGCCAATATATGTGATTTACCTCATTGTATCGTACACTTGTACACTAGTAACACTATCAACTGCTAATGTAACTCGTTGGTGCATGTGTCATGCATGATTTTTAAATCATGATGATACGTAATATTATTTATTTTTCAATTTGGTTYTTTTTATTTTTATAATAACTTATTTTGTATTTCGTGACCGTTGCCCTTCATATGTTTAAACAGATGGGTTTCGTTTAGATGTCTGTAGGTGAAWWGTGTGAACGCCTGGATAGTGTAAATAGTGACAGTATACATTTTTATTGTCGGCCCGGAGCGTTTTTCTTTCAAGTGTAATAACTAATAATTAACTCGCCCAAGCCCGTTTAATTGGTGAGCGGGTAGGGGTAACTTTGGTAAAAACAGACCGAGTATCTGCCTCCTACTTCTCTCTCACTCTCTTTGGGTATAAATATGTAATATAATTGACCCGGCGGGAAGAAGAAATGGTGTTTAATGCCGGAAAAAATCTGAAAACAATAATTAAATGTACGGTAGGTACCAAACTGGTGTATTTACAAAGAGAGCGTAAATAAAATTCCGCCGACGTTTCGTAGCAGAAATGAGAGCGAATCGGGGAAATATAGCTGTTGCGGCGGCCTCGAGGCGAAATGCCGAGATTTTGCGTTGAGCTCATTTATATACCTATATATATATATATATATACTAATAGTATATACAGTATACACGCCATACCTTAACCGCGTCCCTTATTTTTCTTTAATTTCACACTCCCCTCCATCCTTTTATGTATAGCTTCTCCCACGAGTGCCGTCACTGCTGTGTTCTTTATACACCATCACACCCACCCTTCCACACGAGCGGTCTTCACGATTTTAATTAGGGTCGAGTGCGTTTTTCTTGACTGGGAACAGTGAGAAATTATATTTTAAATATTATGTAGGACGTAGGTATACATCACCTACACGAGTATACTCCACGGATGTTCAAATATCACTAAATTTATATATATTATATTAAAATGTACTAGCCAATCCTCGTGCAATTCGTTGCCCGTTAAAAATACCAACTCTATATGATTGAAAATTTATGTTTAATTCATCGTTTGAAACTCGGCATAGCTAGTGATGTTCAAAACTTTCAGTAAATTTACCTTAACTTAATCTCCATTAAAG